ATTGTAGCAATATGACAATAGTGATAGAACAATGATGGTTTGACTATGATGGTAGAGTTGTGGTATCGTAATGATAGTCCATCAAAAATGATGTAGGTCGAATTATGACAACGACAATCTGCAGTGGTTGTGATAGTCTATGTTTTGCAGAAATGCTCTACAACATAATCTATCACATAAGGGGGGTGCCTTGCACTAATCAGAGAGCACCCTAGTGCCTAAGGGCCCCCCTCACACATGGGAGTGCTCTAGCCGAGCGTCATATTCTTCTTTGGATAGAGCGATTAAAATTCCCACGCCATAAATGGGCACAACTATGTCTCAATATGTTAATTCTCAAGTTTGAAAATAGAGTACTTGGTGCTTTAGATGGGCGATCCAAAGCCCAAAAGAACGATTAGAGACAAAGCACGTGGAAAGGCAGCGCCTGGGAGTGGCGCTCCAGCACCAGAAGCAATTTCTCTTTCGATCAGGATTTATGCCCTAGACTTCTATAAGAAAAATATTTCTCTCGATACTACGTGTAACAAGAGCGGGATAGAGCGAGTGGTGTGGCAAGTACTGTGTTGAATTTTTGATGTTTTCTTTTATGCGGTCGAAAGAGGAGGAGCATTTATGAGTTCCATGTCGATAGAGAGAAACTCTGAGTGTAGCGTGACTCTGTTATTTTTTTCTCATTTTAAGATTTTTTCAAATTGAATCTTGTGTTATTTTTTAAATTTCTTGTGTTGTGTGTTTCTGCTCAATTTTTTATTTTGAGTCTCTCGAATTGGTGTGTTTTCCATGGTGTGATTTGGTTGTGAATCATTCCAAATCTGGTTTCTCCATCCCAACGTAATAATGCTAATAATGTTAATAGTTGTCTGATAATGGCAACAAGACATAAGTAATTCGACGACATAAGCAGTCTGATGGTGCAAACCTAGTAGCGGTGGTCAAGCAACGTCAGCAATTGAACAATGGTGACCGATAGTGATGGTAAGTTAGTAGTCTGACAATGGTGGTTTCCAAGGAAGATGATTGCAATCTTGGTAACGGCGACGGAGGTTCGATAGTAATGAACGGGTCATGATGGTTTGACAATGGTGGATTGGTAGAGCATAGTAAACTTCCATGCCTTAGAGCTCTTTTGAATCTCATCCTTTAAGTCTAGGTTCCTCATCTTCCATATGGAGAGTGCCGATCTATTGATTAATTTTGAGAGTGACATCCCTCATTAATACTACTAATCTCTAGAACACTCCATTAGAAAACTGAGAGAAACTCATTTGATCATAAGATGTTCTTAGAGTATTCGATAGCCTTAATGATGTCAAAATTGAGTGGTATTAGACGCGTTAAAATTATCTTGGCGAGTAACTTGATTTGTTTATTAGCCTGCAAGATTTGATGATCATTTGGGTCACTAGTTAAATTTTTAAGATTTTTAAAAGTGTTTGATAGGCTTATTTGAACTCGGATCGTATCATTTTGGTAGGCCTTATTGATAGCCTCAAATTGGCTTTATGTTTGTCAGAATTAAAGTGCGGATTGTTCTTGAAGCTTGCTGCTGAAGTCTGTGGACAAGGCTATCAAGAACAGGCCTGTGTGG